TATACATTTTATATACAATTATTAGGTTACATAAAAATTACGCGCTCTTCAGCTAACAGTCATTCGAATTCGGGACAGAGTTCTAACTACGTTTTTCCGTGGGATTATTCTCGAGTTTAGATGTAATGGTGCTGATAGTCCGGAGTTTAGATGGGGAAAACCACGAAAACGCCCATGCAGCCAGCCCGTTCGCGGGATTCGAACCTCGGACCGAACTACCAGTGTTCAGCGACTTTATCGCTCGGCCGCTGGTGGGCCCTCGAAAGAATAATACTTCAAAGACTGAATTTTTACATTGAAGCTAGTAAACTCATAAATGCTAGGCAATATGGCTTTGTGCTCGGAAGTCAGTGGATCACGCACTGAATCACATACAGAACACGGTACTTGGAAACAACAGAAACTTAGAGTAAATTGCCTACTGTTGTTATCAGCACAGACATACAAGGTGCTTCAGTTCGTTGTGGTGGCATGATGTTTCGAAATGTCTCAAAGATAGCAATTACCCCCCAAAACTTTATATTATTTGATCTACAGTTGAGTGAAAGGCGAATTCAAGCTATAACGGAATGAGGCGTCTACATGTAAAAAGTACCAAAAGGCTGCTCACAAGACTCCTGCCTCGGTACACTTCTATGAAACCTGGTTGCAGACACCGCGCTCAACCTGTTTGATATATAATAGCGTATGCTGCCCGCCTTGGTTACGGCTAATTCCCAAAAGCATTCGATAACATAGTCCCTCTCAATGAATGGCATCTCCATAGGTGGCGTCAATGTCACACCTAACATGCAACAAGCATCAACCTCAAAAGACCCTTTCTTCTGGACATCTGCAGAGGATTCCCTACCTCTCCAACAACTGCATTAAATGTATTTGCAAGTCTTCCACCCCTGCACTAGTACAGAGCGAGAGTGCTGTGGTGAGAACGACCAAACTGAAACAAGACATTACTATTTGGAATAAGATATATATATCCTCGGACTACGAGAATCACATTGCTCACTCTGCTTGCCCCTTGCTAACTTCGATATTGAAGCAAGCTGTAATCCTCCACTTGTATTACAATCCACAGCCATACGGTTTGCTCCAAAGGCAACCGGCAGTGCCTTGTATGCAATGGACGGTGACCTCATAATCCATTCCTGGGCTAAGAAGCTCGATCCTCAGTGTTTCAGGCAGAACCTACAGACTTAAAAGTAGCTCTGAACCTTACTGTTATCAATTGAAGGTACAAAGTAATGTATACAGATTCAATGTCAAACATGCAGGCCATCCATGGCCGTCGCAGTAGACATTGCGCAGTCAAAATCATAAAAAAACTATTACTTTCGATTCGCCTAAGGTCCAGCTTCCATAGGTTCCAGTCCATACGGGGATTAAAGTAAATGAAGGAGTAGATATGATCGCGAAAAAAGCAGCAAACCAGCCCCATATGAGTAGCATTAATGTACCCCTTCCGAACTCATATCTGAAAATCACTCTACAATGTAAATTAACCCCTTCGCGCCGACTGTCACGTATACGTGCCAGCAACGAACACACTTATCTACCGGCAGACACGCAGGCGTGCCAGAGGATTGTTGCCGACTGTCACGTCTCTACCGACTGCACGTATTTGGCGAGTACTTGAACGTTTTCAACTATAATTTCTGCCACAAGATGCACTGTATGTCCATATGGTTTCAATACATGTAAATTAGACCTTCTACTCGAAATGAGAGAAGATACACGTGTTTTTTTATATAAAAACAAACGGGGAAATAATGTGTTTCCGAATGGCCTGATTATGAGTCTCTTAAATCGCACTTTATTCGCACGTGGTAGTGTTACTGCAAGTAGAGAAGTTTATTTGCTCAAAGCGTTGGGTATTCGGTTTGCAGTTCAGTTTTTAGAAAATATTAGATCTGAGACGTGAATTCTTTGTTTTAACGTGCAATGTCGAAGCATCGAAGTTAACAGACATGAAATAGCAGAAAATGATGCAAATATTCAGGTATTGATTCTGAAATTCTATATCTGATATTGATTCTGAAAGATTAACTGAAAACATTTTCAAAACTTTGCTCGAAGAGATGATAAGAAAATGAGAGGACGTGTTCTTTGTTCACATTCGGAAAAATCCTCCAAACGGCAAATGAGTTATTACGAGTGCAAGGAATGAACGTAGGACTGTGTGTAGATCCCTGTTTTCAAATTTTTCATACGAAAAGAGAATTTAAGAATATATTTGGTTTTCAGATGTATAATGTTAAATTCATAAAATGGTGAGTAATTAAATAAAATGTGTAAAATATGCATTTAAACAAGAAATAAGGTAATTAAAGTCATATATAAAAATTTATAAAGCTAGCCGTTTAATACTTATAGAGCATAGTAAACAATGCGTTGATACTTCGGAAATTTCATGGATTTAGGCTTAGTAGCAAAAAAGCCCCCGGCCCTGGAGAAACGCTCGCGTATAAGATACTGTCGGCCTCAGCGATAAGCGCGCGTTTTCGCTACCCGGCTCGAAGGGGTTAATGAAACAATGGCAATACTACTGGGAAGTACACTGAGAGCACCACAGGCAGAAGATTGTATAAATTTCATCCAAAAGGAAACCAGAATTTTAATAGTAGCTGTATGCAATTCATACCATCGAAATTAGTCCTGTGAAAATTTGAAAATATAACGCTGATTTTTGTTGTTTGACTTCTAAATTAAGAATTTTTAGTTATTGTAACTGAAATTTACTCTTTGTTTGTTTGATATAACTTGAGGACGCTGGACGTGACAAAAACAAATTTCTTGCCTTTTGAGTGTGGAAACAAGTTTTCCATGTATTTTGAGTTTGAAAGGGCAAAAGAACTGTATGAAAATCAAAATTTTGCTGTTTTGATTAAAACGAGAACGGAAAAAATTCACGAGGGTTATAAACATCGTGAAACGTTAGTGTACAAATATGTGAATTTAAAGAAGGACATATTCATAAACAGTCATCATAAACAGTTGTATTCATATTCACAAAGAGTTAAATTATTTATTTAACACAGGAATTTGTAAAATTAGAGCCTGTAGTATAATTGTCAGAATTTATTATTGACTAAGAAAACGTATTGAAAATTTTATATGTATCACTTTTTCAGTGGTCCATTTTATAGGTTCAAATGCCATATTCCAAAATAAAGTTTATATGAAAAAACTATAAAATCTGATAATCCTTTGGTGAGCAAATTTTTTAATCTAAATCTTACATTAATTATTTTTGTCTTTTAAATTACATCACATTATTTATTTAATTTAATAAATGTGTTTTGTCTAATTTCAAAGTTTTTAAATATTTTTTGATTCTTAAATGGAGAGTATTTCCGTAGAAAAATTAAACAAGCATACAAAATTGTTAATAACCAGTATTATATGATTAATTCATAGTTTATTTTTATCGGTTTTAACTTATTTCATGACCAAATTTTTCTACGCAGACATACTCTGTCTAATTTTTAATGTCTTTTTTCTCAGCCGAAAAATTTCAAAGAGGAATGAACAAAAATATTTATCGTGCAAAACACATATTGAATCTAAATGTATTCTAAAGTAGTACAAAAAATGTAAACGAGGTTTTAGCCCCACCCAAATCAGTCATTTAAACTTATTCCAACCATTCAGGCGAACGAACGGTTGGAAGGATTTATGCGAAGATAAAAATCTGCCCTTTTTTATATATACATAAATAAAAGAAATGTCCTTCTTTTTATATATATAGTACAAAGTCCGTAATCCGGACTTTTCGACTAGGCAATTCGGATTGGTTTTTCCGGATTATAGATCATCAATTTAAATCGGTAAGATGGCAGAAAAGAAAATTAAAAATATGAAACCTAATTTATGAAATAAGAGCAATTATGATCTAAAGGGTATCAAATTTTGCAAAAAAAAGCTTAATATTTATTTGTTTACTTTATTGAACATTTCTTTCAACGCGCGCATGCGTAAAGCATAATGTATACGCATTCTTTACGCGCATGCGTAAAGTTTTTGGCTTTGAGGTCCGGATTATAGATCATTCTGGATAATGGACGTCTGGATTACAGACTTTGTTCTGTATAAGGAAAGGAACACATTTCCCTTTCTAATCTTTTGAAAGTCACTAATGCTTAAAAAATGATAAACTGCGTCAATGTAGTTTATCATTTTTTAAGCATTAGCGTTTTTTTTTTTTTTTTTAAGAGAAGAGACTCACTACAGCAGACTTTGGCAGTTCGCGTACTTTAAATTCCTTCTTTTCGCTGACTGATGGCAGCCACCTAACTTTTACTTTCGTCTTTTTGTTTTACTGATGTTCTTCACGTAATGCAGAGTAAAAGAAGGCGCTGCTTTCTGAAACTCAAATTCACTATATGTTCTTAGTTAGTAGTTAGTTCTTTGCGATTCGGTTCAAATGATGGATCCGACAACTCAAAGCGCATGCGCGGTTAATGTTGATGCGAATAGCATCGGTAGAATCTACCCATATCTAGCTGTTGGTATTTTACAGGAGTTATTTTGCCTGATTAAAATAAAAATTTTATGGTCCTGTATGTAACTCCAATAAAACATAAAAGTTTATTCAAATCGTCTTCGAAAAAATAATCCTTCATGCTATCATTGCGAGATGCGATCCATTTGTAAGTGTACCGAAATTTTCAATGGATTCTATTGTGTAAAACGATGGGAACTTAAAGATATTTAGGGAATAAAACATTTTTATTTATCAAGATTAACTTTCTTGTCAGGAAATTGGTTCCCGCACCTGGTATCCAAGCCTTTCTCGAAACATGGTCAGTTTTAACATTCATAATTCAACAGAATTACTTTGATTTCTTAATTACTTCTTGGATCTTAACCACGAATTTTCTGAATTATATTATATATGAGTTTTATAACTGCTTCATTACTATCTTGTTTAAAATTCAATGGCAAGAGTTGTGCGGAATTAATCTTGTATTGGCATCGGCTACATTTGTAACCGAATTTATCTTGTATTGGCAACTGCGTGACTATATGCATATGCTGTGAAGAATGGAAATCGGAACCGGTTCGTCGTATACATATTAGTACGTTATATTTTCTTTTATGTTTTCAAATTTTAATTAATATAATTTATTCGGTTTTCTAAATATCTTTAGCAATTTATTTTCATTGTAACACCTTTTTCGGACGCTGTTTATATTTAATAATCTATGATTCATAATACCATTTTGCTGATCTCTTTCTTAAAAATTTTTTTAATCAGACTGCCATCCTAGTGCCTCTGGAGTGTGTTGAAAGTTGTGCCATAAAGATGATCGAAGATTTTGAAACACAAACAATGTATACCCGTTCTAATAAAAGCGGGAAAATAGAATTAGGGGATGTTACACCTCATAACATACGTCAATTGAAGAGACTGAATCAAGTCGTATTCCCTGTCAGTTACAACGATAAATTTTACAAAGATATTTTAGTAGCTGGTGAACTTGCCAAGTTAGCATACTACAATGATATTGTTGTTGGCGCAGTTTGTTGTCGCGTCGACGCATTTGATAATTGTAGAAAATTGTATATTATGACGCTGGGTTGCTTGGCTCCCTATCGTAGACTCGGAATAGGTACCAAAATGTTAGAACATATATTGAATTACGTGAAAGAAGATGGGAAGTTTGATAGCATATTTTTACATGTTCAAGTTAATAATGATAGTGCTATCGAATTTTACAAGAAGTTTGGTTTTGAAATCGTTGAAACTAAATCACATTATTATAAACGAATAGAACCTGCAGATGCCCATGTTCTCGAAAAATTTTTGAAATGAAGTTTTGTGCAGAAATTTACTGTTTTAATATGTTTTATTAAATAAAATAGATTTCGATATATATGTATGCTACTAGGACTGTCATCAAAAACATATGATATAAAATTAGTTGTTTAGAATATTCTTTTGTTCTCTTTAATTTATTTGCATTTGAAAAGCATTTTAAGATTATTAAAAGAATTCAAATTTGAAAATTAATTTTTTTTTTTTTTTTTTCAATTCTGTTATAGCTGGCAAAGATGTTATGTATTAAAAATATATTTAGCTTTGCAAACAGCTGTAATGCTTAATGTGAATTTTTTGGGATAGTAGCCACATATTAACTGCATGTTATGTTATTAGAAAAAAAAGAAATCTGATGCTTTGAAGTTTTCTTTTTTACTAAGCATATGAATCAGAAAATAACTGTGCATTTGAAATATCAATCTATTTTGAGAGCTGTTCCATACACTGTAATTTTGTGTTTGTATATATTTAGAGATTATGTTTTTGTAAGTACCTTGTCCTCCTTCCATAGGTAATGGTAAAACGGAAGATTACCTTCTCTATTGCTAATGAAAAGCATTCAACTCATAGGTCTTGTATCTATTGATTGAATTTGTTGGTTTCAATGTAATGCTGCTAGGGAAGTAATAGAAAATGCATGTAATTATAAATGCCAGCCCAACTAAATCCGTGTTTTGATTTAAATTTATTTGCTGAATTGATACACTCATTAAATTTATAGTTATGTATGTATTATATTGTATGTTTATATACCTAATTCTGATATTACACATAAAAATCTATGCCCCTTCCCCCCACCCTCCAAAAAAAGGTTTCAGTATGAAAGCAGCCACTGTATATGCTTTGGCAAAATTTAGCATCATTTGGAATTAATTTAGTGAATATGGAAAAATACCAAAGCAACTTTCAAAAAATGCTCCAACATGAGAACATAGTAAATGAACATTTATTTATATATGTGAGGCTATAATTTTATAATTAATACTATAAATGAATCAGGTATTTTGTATCATACATATTGCTATCAAATAAATTCTAAATACAAATTTAACTGTTTGTGAGATGTGATAGCAAGTTAAATATAGTCAACATTTTACAGGAAAAGTGGATAATGAAGAAGAGAGAATGAGTGATATTGCAAAAAACTTTATTCTAATTTCCAGATTTGTAGTAAGTTAAAAGCTGGCAGCATTTAAAAAGAAAATAATTAAGGATATCTAGATGAAAAGTGAACATGAAAATAAATGTGGCATGTTAAAAATAACACGAAAGATTACTATAAATTAAATTTTTTTAATTAATTATAAGTTAAAATGCATAATATTTTGGATTATTAAAAAAGATTTCTGAATCAGTATCATGTTATCAATATCACAATTAAAAAGTCTGAAAATAAAATCTATTCCAAGTTAAAAATCTGAGGATTATATTTACCAAGCTTGGCGACTAATCTTCGATTATGGCAACTGTCTGAGGTAGCCGCTTTAATGTTGAAGTACCAGACATTATATGTATGAAAGAAAAGATGATTGGTTCTGATCTGAGAAGTTAGGGGGGGAAAAAGTATTCATTTTAGCCTGATTAATTAATTTTAACTAAATACAGTTGTGATAATATATAATGAAAATAATTTAACGGTACTTTTCCATTTTGCCGGCGCAGGCGATAAAGTCGCCAAAAATGATACAACCGATGCCGAACTTAATATACTCGCTGGTAACCTTTTACGCCTCAATTTTCCGCAGCCATTTCTTATCAGATTGATTGTTTCTTTCAATAATTGCATAGAATTTTTAATAGATAGTTCAATTTTATGCCCTAAGGCCATTTGCGGTAATTAAGTCAATTAGAATGCAATCTCGCAGCTCACCTGAAGGAGAAAATATAGAAAAGGCTAGGGTTAAATTCATCAATTATAATGCGAATGCACTAGCACTGCGATTTTACATAATTTCTGAGTAAGCTATTCGTACAAATTGAAATAATTCTTGCATTAAAACTTGTATTCCATATTAAGATTTAACTTGAAATTAATGTAGATAATTACTGAGAGAAATATATTTTTGTAGTGTAGTTTACGTGAGATTGGGGTCTCATGATATGAACCGGCGAATTAAGATGTTGTACCCTGAAAGCATAGTAAATTCTTAAATTAATGTCTTTTTACAAAATTTTAAACAATATTAAAATGTTTATGCCTTCAAAAGAAAAAATTCTTAGAATTAACATTTGTTGACATTTTTATGTGTATACTGTGTGTTGTCGCCAACAAAGTCTGCTTGGCGAGATTTGCGCCGGCGAAACGGAAAAGTACCCATTTAACTCTGCATCTGTAGAGGCCAAAATCTCATTTAAATGTTTCACTCAAACATCTGAAATATGTATTTTTATTGGAATGGATTTCCTTTCCCATGTCAAGTTAAATGCTAAAGTGCTAAAAATAAGCTATTTAAGTAAAGCAACAACTTCTCTCTTAGGATCTGGATAAGCTTTAATGGCTAATCTTCCATATGTGAGTAAGTTGGCTCACTAAAATATACAAGTTACTATTGCCGTGGAATTTAACACACTGAACCACTTTCACTCAACACTTTAAACATTCTACATCTCTCAGTTACCACATGCAAGAAACAGAACTAAAAAAAAAAAAAAAAAAAAAAAAAAAAAAAAAAAAAATTACTAAGTAAAATTAAATGAAAACATTCATAAAATATAAACTACATGTCATCTGAAAACCAACTTTCTCCAACCAACAACAGCTTAACCTCCTGCAAATATTAAACAGTAAAACTTTTAAAAATAAACTCAATATTTCAAAATTAAATTTAAAAAAAAAGTCTGGCTACACTAAACTCGCACTCATTACAATCACCGAAATAAAGCTCTATGTTTGTCACAAGAAAACACGGCTAATCATTGGAATATGGTAACAGGTAGTTTAACAACATTTTGGTAAGGCGATAAAGGTTACTAGCTAGGACTTTAGCAGTGTACATGGATAAAGTCAAGAGTGTGCGCAATGCCATTTTTGTGCTTAAGCACTTTTGTTCCATAAAAGTTCTAGCATAAGCGTAATTCCGCTAGCAGATTGTTGGGAAAAAATGTTGGGGGGGGGGAATGCCTTTACTTTGTGAAAACAAAATGGCGTCCAAACAAAAACTAGCAGGGTTGGTTGCCAAGTTACCATAATCCAAAGATTAACTACAAACTCTAGCCAAGTTTCATGCTCACCCTGCTTATGAATGATTAACTGCTTTAACCATTGTATGCAATTTCTCCTTAGGACAGGATTCCAACTTCGGGCATCAATAGCTGAACAAAGGAGAAGGAAGGGACATTCAAATAACAGAACTACTTTTAGTCTCTTCAAAAGAATGATTTGCATATCATTTAACTACTCCTGAAAGCAATTAGCCATGCATTAGCATGATGGGGTGAAAAGCACCAGGTAGAAAATGATTCAAACGTTTGAGGCAACCTGCTGATGACTGAATGGTTGGGCATATTAGGCAACTTTGATGTGAAAGAGTTAAAAATAAATTTCCATTTGAATTTAAAAAAATGTTTCATGAATAAATATTTGATGCATTGTAAGAGTTTATTCATATCCACTCTCTTGCAATAACTTGCGCATACGTTTCTGTACAGCAGCTATCGCTTTCTTGCTTTATTAATGAAATTCCTTCTCTGATCTTCTGTGTTACATTTGCATACAGAACTGGATCATTTCTTTCATTATCACTGCTTTCTATGGAATTTGGAGTCTTAACGACACCCACTAATATTTCATCTTTGCTTTGTCTTCTAACATTTCATCAATATTTTCAAATGATAGATCTTTAATTCCTTCATCACTTATTGTGTGTGCCATATTAAGAATTCAGGCAGAGTAAGTTCTTAGAAATTGTTTTGGCTCGCTAGTGTTCAAAGTGACATGTAAAAAGAGAATGAATATTTATTAAATCAAGTACATGTATAATTTGCTAATTGATCTTTAGCAAATAAGAATTCTTGAATATAAAATAAAGGAGCACTGAAATAGGTAGAAAAAAATTAAATTATAAAACTAATTTGAAGGAAGTAATTCTTTATCAAATTTATTTCAAATTGTAATTCCTATTACACTGTGGTAAATCTATTTTATAAGTAAGATTTGTAGGCAAACAGCCAATTGACGTAGCTAAATCTTTGTGATCTGGAAGGTTGCACACTTGTTTTAGATCTACAAGGATTGTATGTGGGGTATGACTAGATTTAAATATGTGCACTTGATTCCTTAAATCTCTATTTATAGTGATATATTTTATATGCATATAGGTAGCCTAAATAGTTTAATAATTACCACTAATAATACATACATATAATTACTACTCGTAATGCTTATATATACTATATATAAGTTAGTATATATATAGTAGTTATATAGTATAGTTGGTATATATAATATAGCTTACATGCATATACTATATACAAGGGTTCCAGTTAGGGGGGGGGAATGTAAAATAAATAAAATTTCAAAACAGTAAAAGTTACTTATGAAGTGCAATGAAAAAAAATATCACCAAGCTATTGATATGTATTGCAAGTGTGTACAACTTCAATATGTGATTATCAACATATTGAAGAAAGACGTGATTAAAAATAAAAATTTACATTATTAAATATGTATTATTTGAAAATATGAAACACTTTTATCAAGAAATCATTTTGTGATTTTTTTCACTTGTCTTCTCCCAATGTACAAAGCAATCTGCTTTTGCTAAAAGAAAAAATCAGAAGATGTGCACCAGCTATGATCATTATCATCAGAAACAATTGAAGCTTCAATATACATTGCAACATAATGAAAATAAGAGGACGATTCTGTATTTGTTGTTTCAAAGTAAACCATTTTAAATGAAAATAAGAGGACGATTCTGTATTTGTTGTTTCAAAATAAGCCATTTTAAAAATAACAGAGAGAGACTTAACTATCCCATTGATTTGAAATGTAAAAAAAGGTTGCTAGTATGCAGGAGCACCCGGGCACCTAGAGTTTCCAGCACCCGGGGATAACTGAAGAATTCATGCCCCTTTCTGTGTGCCAAGAATGGGAAACATTTCATCAAAAAATATCGTAGCATCAATTTAGCGCCTCTTGGATACAGTGCCCGGGGACTGATGTCCCCCCTTGCCCCACCCTAACTACATCACTGCTAGTATATTGCATAAAAATAAAGAGTAATTGATTAAAGTCATCTAAGAATTAAATCATGAAATTTGGAGTGGATTGTCAATTACATTTTTAAATAATACACATTAATGTTTAATACAGAAGCATGAAAATTTTACCGTGATAAATATTAAAATGATTTTCATCTTAATAATAAACACTTGAAAGGGAATGCTGTAAATTTATATAGTATTTAATTGAATTATTTAGCTAACATATAATGAAAAGAAATAAGAATTTATCAAATTTAGGGCTGTAAAGGTTATAAATATTTGTTCTATCATTTGCTTGTAGTTCTGATGTGAAGATGTTAGGTTCTCGTGTGAGCTGCAGGAATATAAAAAGTCTTATCTAAGTGGGAATTTCAGACAATTTTTTTTTTTTTTAGTTTGAGAATTATTTTAACACTATTGCTTTATTTTGATCATAAAGCATTTTGTGCTCTTTAAGTTATATTCACTGAATGATCGAATGTTACAATGTATCTCAAAAGATATTATCTGTTTTGAAAGTTAATTAAAATATAAGTGTATAAAAGGCTGAATTTGAAGCATAAAAGTGTATATAAACAGTTGGGATTGTTTATCTGTCTTTTGACGGTGATGTCTTTATTGGGTTCAAAATGATAATTGTTAACCAGAAAAAATATTTTTATTATTTTACATCTTATTTTCTGAATTGCAATGCTAATGTAATTTTACGGTTTGGCTGTGTCGCCACTGCATAGCTTGGTAAAACTACTGAAAAAAACTGGGTAAAAATATATTTCCGGGTGCCACAGGGCGAAAATTGATAATTTTTGGCGGTACATGGATACCAAGTTTATGCAGTTCTTTGACTTGTTATTTTAGCTTTGTGTATCGGCAATTTTTAACAAGTCAAAGAATTGCACAAACTCGGTATCCATGTACACATCGACCTATTTTTCACTTAAAAAATTGGAGAATTGTCCAAACTTGGAACTGCGCACTCTTTTGACTTTATCCATGTACACATCAACCTATTTTCACTTAAAATTGGAGAACTGCACAATTTTGGCATTGTGCACTCCCTTTGTCCATGTACGCACTAATCTATATTCATTTAAAATGTCAAAGGAGCAGCCAACAAAAAATATATAATCTCAATAAACTACATTTTAAATCAAATGATGAAATAACATAAAAAAGGAAATTCATCTTTGCACTACACAAAGGAAATATCCACTCACCTTATTCACGAGTTTTTCTCTCTTCAGTCACCTAAAATTATCTAAACTATCAACACATAATTCACAAAAATAAGAGTAAAAAATATCCTCCATAGTGCCGGTATCCTCCGACATTCAACCATACGCATTTCCTTCCTACACACAGGACACTTATAATGGCTATTAAGTAACCCTTCATTTACACACCAGTTAATTAATGCTCTTTTCCCCTTTTATTTCAGATCATACAGAAACTTCAAATTAATCTTACCACATTCAGCCATTCTACTATCTGAACCACAAAACAAGCAATGTACTTTGTAACTAACACAGCACAAGTCCTTACAAATCTTTTCCCGTTATTCAAAGTTTGCAGCAGTCAGGCAACTGATTAAGTCATAATAGGGTTTCCATAACATTCAATTACTCAGGTTATAATAAATGAAATGACAAATTTGAGATAATACAAGAGGCACCCTTCAATCTATTCTAACCAGAAACTGCTATTAAATTGCATAAATGTATTGTTGCTAATCGGGATGCATCAGAAACATTTATCTGGTTAAACAGATGCTGGTTTTACACATGTTGATTGATTTCTTTTTTTAAAAAACAAAAATAAGAATGTGGAACGTATTTCGTTGTAGCAATAAAGTATTTTTTA